GACTGTTAATGTCACATATGAACAGTTCTTCAGATAAACTATAACATAAACAACAGAACAGAACAAGTTTACCAAACTCTCCATCTCACTCCAAATCACTAAATCCATTCAATCCTTCATCCTTGGTGTCACTTCTGAATCAGTGACCTCCGGAGGTAAACAGAGCGCCGCTTCCTCTTCTGTGTAGCTCTCGTCAGACTCAGCATCAGTTCCAGTTAGAATTATTCGGGCCTTTCTGAATCCCGACAGGATGGTTTCTGTTTCATTGAAGTCCAGACTTTGTCAATCCATCCAGTGACTTCAGGAAAGTTTCAGTGGCGCAGAAGTAATGGTGCGATCAACCCGAGGGGAGTGCCGGGTCGGTCATGTGAGAAGCACCTGCCCGTGAAGGCCATTCGATGTCGCTTGTGGCTTTCATTTGTAATTGAAACCTCCTTTGTCACCTGAATAAATATTGTGAAAAATATTGAGTTCAAAATTGATCTTTGACTCTTATTTGTCAGTTCTTTTTCTCTGCCTTTGTATCATGAGTCAAAAATAAGGAGTCGTGCAAAGACAAAAGGCAGAAACAGTGTTTAGTTTGTGATTTTGTTCATAAATATATTTTATTTTAAAATTAAGTCTCTTGCCTCCTTCTTTTTGTTGCAGCTTTAGCACAGGGTCTTAACACCTTAAATAAATATACCTTTGTATTCAATTATACTTAAATGATCTTTAATGTGAAAGTATATAGTACAAGTGTATTTCTTCATACTGTACATACTATACTGCAAAGTCACTTGTGTGTCAGACTGTTTAACTGTGTAAGTGTCGCTGCACGATCTTGATCAGCTCTAAACAGGAAATCCAAAGCTCTTCTGTGTCATTGTTTCCCAAAGACTGGGTCGTGATCCTCAGGATTTTTTTGAGTCGCCTTGTCACGATCTGCATGTAGGTTGAAATGTTAAGACATGTTTGAAATAATTTCTAATCTTTTTGTAATTATTTTATTGAGTATTTTGTTTGAATATTGATGGTTCAATTGAATGTTGAACAAAAGAAAAATAAATATTCTACATTTAATGTCCAAATAGGCAACTTCTGGATCCTTTTATTGCTGCTTCAATGACTTGAGTAATACTAAATGTTCAGAGACACAAACACACAGTCAACAATAAAATATCCTCATTAATTTTCAATAATGCTCAAATCCACCTTTATTTTGTGATTTACAAATAATGTCTGTTGACTTGAGTCGTGAAGGTTTGTGACTTTTAAAACATGGGCCCCCAGAAAAAATGTTGGTAAATATATATTTCAAACAAACACCATCATGACTCGAGCTTGGTGAGATGTTCTTATAATGGATGGAAGTCTGGGGAAAATCAAGCAAATAATGATCATTTCAGTTTCTGCCTTTTGCCTTTTGTCTTTGCACGACTCCTTATTTTTGACTCATGATACAAAGGCAGAGAACAGGAACTGACAAATAAGAGTCAAAGGTCAGTTTTGAGCTCAATATTTTTCTCATAAAAATATTTCTTCATTATAGCAACTAGAGCCTTACCTATTATACTTTTAGCTGGACGAGACAGAAACTTTGAAGTCATTTTTCTCAGTTTCACACTCTGGCAAGTGAAGTTCTTTTGCTTTTGTAGGGCAGATTACATCTTTTATGCTGTCAGTAGTTTCTGTCACTGAATAGAACATAAACACAAACACACACATGCAGGTGTGCAATAGATGTGTCTGAACATATAACTTTGTTAACCTTGTGGCATTTCCTGTCTGTAGCAGAGGTAGTTTAGGGGCGACAGTGGCTCTGTGGTTAGAGCAGAGCAGTAAGTGCTCCTTACCCCTGAGGTTAGATGAAGCTTGTGTTGTCATTTCTCTCCAAACTGAGTCATATTTGCAGCCTGAAACTGCACCTACTTACCTTCACGAGTAAGTGACACCACCAGGCCAAGAAATTTGTCAAATCTGTGAAGAGGTGAACCCACTTCCAGTAACATTCACTTAGACACATAGACACACATATATACACATACACATATGTAAGCATCTACATACATACATTCCTATCAACATATACCTACATATACGTACATATATATACACATTAACACATCCACATATACACATATATACAGCCACATCTCCACACATATACATATACATATATATACATATATATATATATATACACACACACACACGCGCGTACACATATACATACACACATACATAAGCACACACACACACATTTATACACCTATACATACATAATATTTACACTCTTAATAATATAATGTTCTTCTAAACAGTTAGATGGAATGTCAAAAATGAATCAGTCAGTCACAATACCTTTTCTTAAGAATACATGTGTATATGTATGTATGTATAAACATACACTTAACTAAACTTTTGTCTCTCATAAATTTGCCCTTTAATACTGACAATTTTGACATTCCAAACCACTCCAGGGCAGCAAACATCTTATATGAGCAGGTGGTCTGTACGTGTACATTATACATTCAAATTAATAACATTCAATAATATTTAATATTTAAATATACACATACTGAAGGAATACCAATGATAATTTATTAAGTGTGGTACTGTCCTTCTTAAAAGGTTTCCAGGCTTGCCAATATGGGATACCAAAGTTCTTGAAAAATGTGTCCATAATTATTTTTTTCGAGAGTTAGTTTTTCCAAAGGTAGAAATTCTGACAATTGACTCGTAAATAGCCTAAATGTAGGAGGTAAATCATCTTTCCAGAGTAGTAATATACATTTCTTTGCAAAATATGTTATAGTAATCAGTATTCTACATTTATTTTTATCTAAGTGAAGTTGTTGTGTGTCATTTAACAGATATATATTTGGCTGAATATCAAAAGTTTTTTCCAAGGCCGTTTGTGTAAAGGAGTGAATGATATTCCAGTAATTTTTTAAAAGATTACAATCCCAAAACATGTGTATATATGTTCCATCCTTTACTTTGCAACGGGGACATTTTGTAGAAATATCTTTTGATAACATTCACTTTTTAACATTCTTTTCTTATTTATGTTTTTTTTTTTAATATATATTAATTAATTTATTTATTTATTTGATAATAACAAATATGTCATTCATATCATTCCAGGTAAAGCTATAACATAAAAAAATATATAATTAATTAATTAATTAATTTAATTAAATTAATTAAAGTAGTGCAGATTTTCAGAATCAAAGACACCCTTGACTTGGGGTGGCTGATAATAATAAAATTGTGAAACGAGTGCGTAATTAAAGAAAATTGTTCTGAACTTGGCCCATTCATGATGAACATAAGTCAGTACAGTCACATTTTCTCTGTTTTCTTGTCATTTTTAAGCAGCTTTTCTGTATTTCATCGAAACAAAGTGACAGTTTATGCCTCACTTTAATGTCGGCAGGGATCAAACTGGTGGAAAACAGGGACACCTGGGACAATTTGGCTACATCCACACAACAATGCTCCTGGATTTTTTTCTTTGCAGGTTGAAAAAAATGTGCATCCACACACGTGCTGGATCAGTAAATATTCACGTCCACACGACAACGGAGCACAGAGTGAAAACGATGTAATACATGTGCCACACCTGTATGTGGCAATGATAATAATATTTAATAATGCAGATCTCATCACCGTTTTTTAAACTTTAAGGTAATTTAGCCGACTTTTAGATGTATCCCAGAAATATAGCCGTTTTGTTTTGCAAACGTTAAACGTAAGTCAGAGAAAGAACCCATATAATCCACTGAGTCGTGTCCTTTAGTCCGACAGAAGCTAAACCGCATCAGCACACAATAGTGAACTGTTTTTTGAGCGCTTAGTTTATGCTAATTAGCCATGTGGTTTTAAGTTTTGTTTCTGTAAAACGTAAACAAATATGATCAAAGCTGTGTGGATAGATAAGACTTATGGACACAGAAACGACGTGTGTGGACCCAGACCGTTTCTGATACGGTGATATGCGGATTCGTTTCAGTGTAAACATAGTCTTTTTCTAGCTAGGCTTGGCGCCACCTAGTGCCTCCGCTCAATTTTATTTCTCTCCGGTGACTAGGTCAGAAATCAGAATACACTAAACGGTTTCAAGAACCCTGGAAGCGTTACATACTGTAGTGGCAGTTTAACTCCACAGTTTGCCACTATAGCTGTGAGGGCTGTGCGGCTTTAGCTTGACTCATGTGTCTAAGATGAAAACGGAAAGATTCAATGTCCAGACTTACAGAATATTGGTTATGAGATTTAATTAAAGATGCAAATTCCATAATTGAAGATTGCACAATATATCCAGTTCACACGGTCAAAAACCTGTATGGCCTCAACCCCCTACAATTTCCACACAAAGAATAATCAGGCCACACAGGCCACCTGGCTATGAGCCACCAGGCTCCACCCCAAATACCTCGAACCAATGTAGGACAAAAATGGCCATAACACATACGTCACGACCAGATAGCAGTGATTGGTTAAATAAGAAGAGTACCTGCCTACCATTGAGCGAATGAAAACTAATGCTGCGAGGTCAGACGGTTTCCACAAAGTGAAACATTTCTACATTTCTTCTATAAAACTGGGACAAATCACTTTGGGTTTTGGTTAAATCTGTTGGGACAGGGGACATAGGGCTCGAAACTGGGAGTGTCTCGGGCAAATAGGGATTACTCTAGTAATGCATCTTTAATTCTCTTTCTTTTAAGATAACTTTATACCAAAATACCTAGTCTATACTTCCCCTTTTCAAACTTTAAAACCCTACAAATGTCTAATTAAATTCCAGAAGTGTTGGCCCATGCGGTGTGATGAGCAACTTTGTACGAAAATACGTACAGTTCTCCTTTTAAAACTTTAAACCCCTACAAGTGTCTAATTAAATTGCAGCAGCGTTGGGCCGTGTCATGTGACGGGTGCTGCCTTCTACTGTTGGGTAGGCGGTGACATGTGTCTGGACTTGCCTCTTCAACTCAACTCAACTCAAACGTCACTCCACTTCGCTTCGCGCGTCATACACAAGCCGGGTGCCTTGCCTACAACAACCTGCGTTTAACCAAAGAGACCACGACCTACAAACTTAACAGTACTATAACTTCTGTGGCATTAACTGTATGGATCATTGAATATCATTGGATATCCAAAGTTGGAAAGATGGCGCGCTGGCAAAGTAGATTTTTGGTAAGTAACTTTTTACGCGTTCGTGTTTGATTGGTGTAATAAGTTAAACGTGATTTCTTTTCGAGTTGGTTTGCGTTTTTGTTTTGTCTTCTGTCACCGAAGTCACAAATAATCACAAAAAAGTAGTTAAAATTCTCCAAACCTTACGATCTTAAATTAAGAGTTGTCCGTAAATTGCACCTTTTTTTTTTTTATCGTTGCCCATCCCCCTGCTCCTCGGTGAAATATTTAAAAGTATTTCTGAAATAAATAACACATAATCAATAGAAATGTTTTTTTTTTTTTAGTTGAACTAATTGTTGTGCCAATTTCCCCGAAGTTTCCAGGAATGTCGCGTTTCTTTGCTAATTTACTCCTTTTCGCCGCGTGTTTTTTAAAGCCCAGGTGCGAAATTCCGCTAAAAAGTAACAACTCGACTCAATATGGCAGTCTTTAAACTAAAAGCATGCCTTTTATTTGCCTCATTTAAGCACAAATAGCCCCTTAACTTCTAAAAAAAATATTAGCACACGCGTGAAACGGGGATGATTTGAAAGTTGGCCATGCGTAATGATAGTTCAGGAGGGTTCTTTATCATTTGGATTATCAAAGTTATAGGATTAGCACGTTTTTACTTATTTAAATTATGTTTTTACCTCATAATATAGCCTCTTATGAACTGAATTGTGTTTCAAGAGAAAGCCTGCGTTGTTATTTTAATTATAGCCCCATAAGCCAATAAAAATATAAAATTATCCTAATATTTAGAAGAATACTGCTGTTTTTTCTACCATATATTAATTTGTTAAACCGTAGTATTCAATTGGTAAAAGAAATTATGAATGAGTTACTCTTTAAAATCTTGAGTACTTGAGTAGTTACTTTTTCACTCTTCCTGGTGTAATTTCTTTGACCACTATTTTGTACTTCTACTTATGTAATGTTATTTTGAAGTAACGTTACTCTTCCCACCTCTGCAAAAAAACACTTAGAAGATACGAATCTCTGAATATATCTGGTCTAGGCCTGGGTGTGAGTTTGCATAATGTTGTTGGCTCAAAACAACAACAAAAAAAGTATTATAGATGAATCCTTTTTATGTTTTAAATTTGTGACTCATTTAATTCAGGAGCTTGGATTAAATTGCATATTCAGATCTAGAAGTTTATCCAAGGAACACAAAAGAAGTTTGGCCATGTCTTTGGTCACCTGTGGAGGACTTTTTTCTAATCTGCACTTAAAAAGGATTAAACTGTCACTTAAGCTTGATTAAGTACAGGCAGAATAAATGGTAGCTCAAAACAAACAAACAAACAAACAAACAAAAAACAAACTAACAAAAATGTAGGCTTCTTAATATTGAGAGTGTTGCATACCTGAGTGATTTGATATAAAAATAAATTCCTTGTTTACAGTTTGTGTCCACTCTAATCAAGAATACATGGCTACATGATGCTACAAGATACAAGTTTTATTTTGTAGCAAATGAAACTAAACTAAAAGTTTTGTTGTTCTTCAACACTTACTCCTAACCCTTCATGGTTGATAGTGTGTCCTACAAAGCCTAACTATCTCTGCTATTAAAAGTAATTTCCACTTTGTCAAAGTAAAATTTTGAACCGTGTTTTTCAATAGCATGTATTTGTAGGATAGATTAAAAAAAGGAGGGGAAAAAAGAGTGGTTTGTCATAAACTTAAAAGACACAGGCAAATGTGACATCATCATCATCATCTCAGACTATAATAAATCTTTATGATCGATTCCTCATGAAGTCATACCTGATTACTGCAGTGCCTTCAGGTCAGGTGCTGTAACATTATCAGTGTTTTGAAACCCTGAGCTCTGTGATGAAGGAGGTTTTATTATGTCTCGGTCAAGTGGAGGTCAAACTGATATGAAAAATATGTGTAGACTGTGTTAACATTTGATAAACCAGGTGTAAACTGGGGCGAAATTAGTTTAAACCCAGATTAAATTCAACAAAGGAAAGAACAAAAGCAGGATTAAAGTGCGCTACACTAGGCCAAGGATGTGCGGACCCTCACCCTGACCAGGTCCAGAGTTTGGCTGGACTGAAGCAAAACGAATAGAGCTGCTGTAGGACAAAATACGTATCAACTCTGGAATAAGTCAGACTTAAACAAGCCAAACCAGATCCAAGACTGAAGTGGGACGGTTCTTGAAAACATGAATATTTAAATGGTCATGTTTATGCCATGTGGGATTTGAACCGCAGACCTTTGGATCAGAGAATGAGCACTCAACAATTGTCCAAATGTAATGATATTTTGTCATGTTCCCAGTTGTGTGTGGCGTGGTGCTGTTACCAGACCTGGGCCTACCCTGGACCTGGTCTGAACCCTGGACTGAACCGGACTCGACGGGCTGTTCACTGTAACACAGATCTGGAGTATCTCCATGGAGACCTCTGCTGCAGGAACTGTCCAGCCGGTATGTTCACGGGAGTTACTGACACTGACTAGAGTTGTTCTTTTGTTTCATTTGAATGAAGATTACACACAAAAAGTTGAGATTTTAGCCATTTATTAAAGACGCTGTACCTGATTTGTCTTTATAAACATGAAAATAAGAGCTACTTTATTTTAAACAGTTTGCAGAGGTCCAAAGTTATTCCTCACTTACCTTCTGCATGATGAGTTTGTAAACACTGAGGCATTTTGCAGAGCAGGTACAGTTTTTTCGAGAAGTGTTCATGGTGTGAGTGTTTACATGTCTGTGATGTTGTTGTCAGGGACTTATCTGAAGACTCCATGCTCCAGCTCAGGGGGACACAGTGAGTGTGAGGAGTGTGGCCCGGGCACATACACTGAGCTGGGACATGGGCTGAAGAAGTGTCTGAGCTGCTCCCTCTGTCGCCCAGGTAACTCTGCTCCAAGTGCTCTGAAAATTGCAATTTAGTTTTGTTACGCTAAATCAGCAGTCTACTCTCACAGGCCACGCAAGTGTTAGAAAGTCGGCATTTTGGTGTAGGAAGATGATTTACTGGACAATGTTGACCCAAAGCACCTTGTAACATTTTTCAGAGCTGTTTTGTAATTACTTTGAATGATGAATCACAAAACACATTTAGATATTTTTTCACCATATGCCATTTGTGTTTAAAGGAAATAAGTAATATTTTCAGTCTCTTCGCTGGTTTTGGTTGAAATCTGGTATCAGCAGAGACTTAAAATCATAGTATCAACATCGATATCGGTTTCAGAAAAGAAAAAGTCAGATTGGTACTCTCCTAAAGCAGGTCTGTGGAAAGAATCCTCAGACACTGTGGTGGTCTGGAGTGGTTTTCAGGACATAAGACTTGTTAGTTATCACAAAAACCCTGGAGAAACCACATTGCTTTGGTCAAAAATGCACCACATTACACCGTAGCTGGTAACAATCTGCAAGTAAACTGCTCAAAGTATGTGCCGAACAAGACCTGCAGTTCTCCCCACGAGCTATGATGGTTATTCACTTTTCCTCTTTGTTAAAATGAAGAATGATATTAAATGAAATATTGATAAGCAGTAGTTAGTAGGGGTGTGCAAAAATATTGAAATATTTGCTTAAGGAGTATTTTTTTGGTATATTTTACTAAATAACTTTGTTACAACTATAGTTCTGCTGCTTGTTCAGAGGAAGAAAACTTCACTTTCACTGTTTTTAGGATTAAAATGTTTGTGTTTCGAGTGGTTTAACAAAGACTTTTAGTATCACAGCCTGATTTAGATATTACTTTTTACTGAACTGTATCAAATCGATTTGAAAATATATCGTATTGTCCCGAAAGTGCACTGTAAGGAGATATGTGTTGTATCGTGGCCTATGTATCGAGGTATGTATCGTCTAGGAAACTTCTGAATGATACCCAGCGTTAGTAGGCAGTGTTCCAAATACAAGCGAGTCAATGAGGGCATAAGACGCGTGTGTGAGATGTTTTCTTGTCTTTTCTCAGATCAGGAGGTTGTGCATCAGTGTATCTCCACTCACAACACGGAGTGCCAGTGTAAACCAGGAGGATTCTGTGCTCCGGACCAGGCCTGTGAGATCTGCAAGAGATGTGCACGGTCAGGACACCCTTTTTTTTAAATAACCTTTGTTCAGAAATTCCATATACTGTCATCACTTGTTATTCAATTAAGGTGTTTATTGCTCAAAAATACCTTCAAAACATGCATTCTTACTGTGAGCAGGTAAAGACAAGCACCAGAAAGGTTCCATAGTGCACCTTTAAGGCTACGTTTATATAATGATGGTCTCAACAGAAGAGGCAAAAGTAGCGTCACGTCTTCACTTTTTATTGTGCGTTTAGACAAGCCTTTCGGGAGGAAATCTGCGTGCATACGGTGACTCAAAAGTGTGTGGAATTCGATTGGGTATGCAGGCCTGGCGTGACGTAAACACGTACGCGACTTGAGCAGATCTGACCAGAGTTTTGCGTCTTTGGCAGTGTAGACGGAAACGCTACAGTGGAGTGTATTCAACTTTTCCACTCTGGAGGGTGGTTTCATATTTTTGCGTTTTTAAGCCCCAAAAACACGTCCCCGTCTAAACGAAAGACACTTCCGATAAAATATTTTGGCGTTTTGCCCAAAATGTACTTTGAAATCATCTGTGCTTTTTCTGCCCCATTAGAAATACATTTTCATTAAATTTTTGATTACGTAAACTGGACGCATAATAGAGGAACAGAATATGTAAGATTTCTAAATCAAAGTTAAAAGGATGTACTTATTATGACAGAAAGATGTCAACGATTTTCTTAATCTTGGAATAAAACTCCAAATCTCTGGCCTATATTATGCAATGTTTCTTCCTCAAAAAAACAAGACCGGTGTTGGGTTTGGTTTCATTCACACATGTTTAACACACAAACCCAGCAGAGTTAGGCCCTGTTCCACCTTGTGATGTCATGTGGTAATACAGCAAGCGCTCCACTGTTTTTAACCTCTACACACCTTCACTAGAATCATTTGGATCATTTCAGTTCTGGATCTGACAATCTCTGCTTTCAAAAAAAGGTTAAAGTAGGTGTTTCATGACATCACAAGGTGGCACTGAGCATTTTCAGCTTTGGACATATAGACAGAGTAATAATAAAGATTACTGAAACATGTGAATGAAACAAAACACAAGTTCAGGTCTGTTTTTGGGGAGGTAACAGCATTATAACAAGACTTAAAGCTCACAAGAATCCATTTTGTGTACTATAGGACCTTTCACCTTTGTTGTTGTGCTGCTCTAATAACCTTTTAAGGAAAGTTGTGCTTGCATTTATCCAGATATGGAATTGTGTCACAACATTACATCATATGTTACCTCTCATAACAAACCTGAAATACAGGCTTATAGTTGTGCCATTGTTACAAGCTTCACTGGTTCAGGGAGTCCCATCATGTGATTTTGTTTTAATTACGAAAGAAGGAAGTATAGCGGAGAACATTTGTAGTCTAATCTGAGTTGTTTTGTGTCTCTGTTCCAAGCAGATGTGGAGAAGATGAGATTGTTGTGAGAAACTGCACTCCCACCAGTAACACGGAATGCAAAAAGAAACCCCCAGACCCCGAGCAAGCATCAGGTATGAGTTTGGGAGTGTACAAAAATAAATATAAAAAAATAACCTTAATTAAACTTTAAATGTTAAACACACAAATCCTAAATAATTAGGCTGAGTTCTTCTCTTGTGATGCTTTGTGGTAATATAGAGTAAAATATAGAATAACTTAAACTACTGGTTCATGACATCACAAGGTGGAACTGAGTATTTTGAGCTTTGGACATGTAGACAAACTAATAACGCAGGGTTTCTCAAATGTGCTTTGTGTTCTCCATGCAAAACTCTATTTTTTTATTTTTATTTTTTTTTGAATGAGGTAATCATTCTAACATGGCTGAGCTCACAAGAGTCAGTTTTGCGTAATAAAAAAAACACCTTTTAATACTCAAGCACTCACACACCCAAACAGATGGCAAAGTGGGTAAAACGTCTTGCCCAAGAGAGACTGCAACTTACTGAAATCTGTGACTCCAGATTCTACGTTATTTAAAATGTCCCTGGACAAAGTTGCAAAAGACCACACACGACTTTGAAATTGTGTTGTTTTATTTTTAGATTTTTGCTTTAGTTCCAGTTTTTATTTATTTATTTTTTATATATAATTTTGTAATTTTGAGGGAATAAATACCCAGCACATTAATAACCAAACAGACTAAACTTGTTTAACGCACTTACACATGCACACATACAGTACATTATACAAGCATATACATACACATACATTTTGACATTGTCCAACACTATATTATTCTGTTTTACTGTGCTTGTCCAAATGGGGTTTTGCCACAGTCCATGGGCTGAAAGTGTATTTGTTATTTGTGTCCAACAGCTGAGCAGCTGCTCCATAGAAATAAATCCAAAAGTATTTGTACCAATTGTCTTTTTGTTCATGTTCCTCATAATAATAATATGTTTAGCTGAATAAAAAACAAGTGATAATATGTGGTCAAAGTTTTGGGATGAAAAGTCTTGAGTTTTTATTCCATACAGGCACAGCAATGGGCATTGAGAGATCTGTACATAAAACATACAAGACAGTTTATCATTTACCATATTTTCCGCATCATAGGTCGCGCTCTTAAGCCTCCAACCCCATCAAAAAACGACTGCACCCCACAATCCAGAGCACCCTATACACGAATCCACTCGGGAGTCCCAGCACGACCTCAGTAAACTACAAAGCCGCAGCGCACGCAAACACACATGGAGCAGACAGCGACCGCACGGCAAAAAACACCCACAGACACACTCATCACTCCACGCCGACGAGGAACAGAAAAGAGGAACGAACCGAAAAAGCGAGTGCAATGTGCCACTTCTAGACACAACTGAACAACTGAGTCACTGCGAACACGCCGACAATCCGTTGGTCCCAGACACACCCTCCCTACACGCCACAACTGAACAAAGCCCAGAGTCACCGTGAACGAACAAACAAACAAAACCACTCACCCATCACACTGTTGGGTTTCATTTAATGTCCGGTGTGGTTTATTTGTGAAAAAAGTTTGGAAATAGACCATTTAATGACAGTGCTCCTTATAATCCAGAGTGACTAATAGTGCGCAAAATACAGTACAGCAGACATGTCAAACTCAGGGCCGGGGGCCAAATTTGGCCATAGATCATATCAAAATTGTATTAGAGCTGGTTCGCCACCTACAGTTAGACTATAGAGACATTATTTATTTAAAATGTTGTTATTTATTTTATATTATGCTTGTTCTAGATTCCAGTTTTTATGACCAGATTAAAGTTCGTGAAGTGACGTTAGCAAATAAAAATAGGACGGACATTGGACTGAGACGACGACGGCTGCGCGTTCAGCCTCTTGGATTGTCATGATTACTAGTGTTTGTTTTTAGTGTTATTCATTTTACGTGTTGTTATTATGTTAACATTTCAAACTTGATTTTGACGTAAAATTTGATCTAATCAGATGTTGAGCGAGAACCACGAGGAAATAACTGCCTGGAATTGGATCTAAGCCAACCCACATGTAGCTTCTCCGTTTCTGTAAACATGTGTTGACTTTTTTTTTTTTTTTCCTTTTCCAAACAGACCCGAGAGCTTTGTATATATTCTTTGGCCTGGGTTTTCCTCTCTGCCTAATTTTTGTTGTTCTGCTGGTCGTCTGTGCTCTTCGAAGAAAGCAGAAGACATCAGGTACATTTACAGACTTTTACATACTTCTTATTGTAGCCTGGTCAACCAAACTAACCCTCGTATTATTCTACAAAACATGTTATTCTGGAAGATTTGGTTTACATGTGCATTGCTTTTCCCCATGGAGATGTTTCACAGTATGGCATTAAACCTTTCTATATTCACGGAGACCAAACCAGACCAAGCTGCAGGTCAGATCTGTGGAGAGGCGACCCCGCTCACAGTCAGAACGTCTGTTTTTCTAGGTATTTTTGCGATATAAATCCACGTGTAATTGAATAAATGTGAAGTAGAGCTGTTTAATGTCACACTGTGGAACATTTCAGGCAGAGCAATGACATATCTGTAGTAACAAGCAGGTGATGGACCAGAAAAGTTACACAATGCACCTTTAAATAAAAACATAAAGGTGCTGTGGGTTCACAATGGAACCAAGAACTTTAGACTGTAAATGAGTAACTTTTTGGCACCATCATGGCACCAGAGAAAATATACGTGCTAAGAAATGGCCACTGTAATAACCTTTAATAGATACTACTACTACTACTACCTACTGCTACTACTTACTTATATCTGCTACTACTTGCTACTTTCTACTGCTACTGCCTACTACTACCAACTCCTATTTACTACCTACTACCAATTACTACCTACTACTATTTAATACCAAATACTACAAACTTCTATTACCTACAACAACTAACTACTACTACTATTACTACTACTACTACTACTACTAAGGTTGACATAAAAAACACAGTAAATGGCCACTCTGAGAAATAAAGATACTTGTTCAAATGAGTCTAATTTTGATACTAGTTTTAAAATCGATTTATTCTCAGATTTTTAATATTTTTCCCTCATTTTCTAAACTTATCTAAACTGATAAACAGGTTTATAAGGTCCAAAGATCTCTCTAGAAAGAAGCACAATGATAACTGTACGCGTCATATCTGTGGAATGCAGCGGAGCCGTGTCATGTGGGTTTTAGGACTTGTTTGTTTGGCCACGGTCTAAAGTAAAGTAAAGTGTAAATGTTTTCCAATGCCTCTTAAAACATGACAATGGAAAACAAACTGAGCAGGATTGATGATTAGATTATGGAAAGAAAATGTCTTAGAAGTTGTAATTATACTATTGGAAAGTATGAGGCAAGACTAGTTACTGTACCTGATATTCTTGCCTCAGTACTGATTTAGACTTGGACTTAGACAAACTTTATTGATCCACAAGGGAAATTATTTGGACCCAGTAGCTCACATGTCACAATATATTATAATAAAGAGAAACAATAGAAATAGTAATAGTAAATTACAAGTAAGTAGCAAAAATAACAAGAGACGAGGGCTGAATGATTTTAAGAGAAAATTGAATTGAACTACTGCTGCTACTACTGCTACTACTACTGCTACTACTACTGCTACTACTGCTACTACTACTACTACTACTACTACTACTACTACTACTACTACTACTACTGCTTCTGCTATTATCTACAACTACTACCTACTAATAACTACTACTATCTACGGCTATTAACACCTCCTACTTCTAATACTACTACCTGCTACTTCTTACTGCTACTTTCTACTACCTACTCCTACTACTCTAACAGCTTAAACTAGTTCTGTTTTCACAATTTAACACAGTAAAAATCAGGTACAGTGAATTTAAGTTGTACTACAAAAATATTGGTTCATTTTTTTCACCACAGAATTTTAGTTATCATTTCTGTTATTGCTTCATCTTAAGTTTTTTATATAGCGCATTTAAAGCAACTTGAGATGACCAAAGTGCTTCCCATAAAAGTAAACAAAAACAGAAAAAAAACCAGATAAACATGTGAAAATGACAGTAAAACACAAGATATTTGGTCTGTATAGTATTAAATGCAAGGGAGAAGAGGTGAGTTTTCAGTCTAGTCTTAATTTCAGTTTGTAACAAAGTTTATCTGAAAACAAATGTCAGTTCTGTATAAATTTTTAAAGATTTAGCAGTTGTCTAGGCCTTTGACAAAAATTCTAAAAAGCTCGACTACCAAAGAAATTACCTTTTTATTGCTTATTACACAATACACAAAAGCACCTGCCTTGACTTTTCTCAAGAGGCTCCTCCTCAGCCAAATGAAAGTACAAAAACAACAGATCGATTCATGGGTAAAGATAGTCGGTCACACCTTAAGGATTCGTCACGGTTTAGTCTCGTTTGTTTTTCATGAGTAATTTCCTCTATAAATTTTTTTATCAGTCAATGAAATCATGGTTCACTAAAGACCAGAGGAATGCAGCGCCTTTGCTTTGATAATTAGAATCATGTTGTAGCTTGTGGACGCAGAGGTGGGGACCTTCTGATAAGTCATTCTGAAAATATGAGGCTGTCAAAGGAAGGACTGAATTGATTCTTAAATGAAAACAGGACTAATATGGAACAAAAATAGCATGGGTATTTAACTACCGAACTTTTAATTTACCTGAGGATGTGGGTTGTGTTTAGGGCTGCAACTTTTCTCTAATCGTGACTAGAGGACTATAAAACACATGTCAAACCACAAAAACATCTTATTTTCATCATTAATCCATTTTATTCTGTAATATTTTCTATCTTGAAGCTTTCTGTCATCATATTTCATCCTTTTGTATGGTTTAAAATGTATTGGGAGGAAAAAAAAAAACAGATCCTTGACTAGTTCATTACTAAAATAATCTTAGGTGTGTTCTGTGTGTTTCAGACTCTGGAAGCAGCTCAGCTGATCAGACAACGGTGAGTTTGTGTTAAGTATCACATTTTGGTCTGACTGAACCAAGAAAAACTACAGAAAAATAGAAGTATTAGCAAATTTTCTCTTCATCTTTTGTGAATTATTATAATGAACTCAAAACACATCTTCATAAATAATTGGACACAGTAAATTTTCAACGTCTTGTGTGTTTTAGGGTTGCAATGGCACGGAGGCGTCTCTGGGCCCGTCCCCTCGCTGCTGGAGCCTGGTGAGGTCTAAGCTCCCTGTGGTGGATCTGGAGGAGCAGAGAGGCCTTTGTGAAGCCCCTGCCTCTACCTCCAACTCCCAGGACAACCTGATCACCAGCCTGCCCCTGTACACCTGCTCTGCTCCTGCCCAGTCCAGCTGTGCTCCTGCCCTAACGCTTCCCTACACCAGGGTGAGGTGGCACTTCACCCATGCCTCTGTGCTGCTGCATGCTTCTGCTTTACACTGGCTGCTGAAGAGTGTTCCATTATGTTTTATTCAGCCTCATTGAACCACTTGTAAACATCTTAGTATTGTTATTTCATTTGTTTCAACTGTGGTTAGATGGGGCAGCTCGATTGGCCAATCTCACGGGAATCCATCTGGCCCTGCTCCCACTGTTGGAACTGGGCCCGAGGCCTCCAGTGGTTCAGAGACTGGACCAGTCCCAGAGAGGGCAGCATCGTAAATAACAAATAAACAAGAACAAAATGACGACACCAACAGACCTGCTTAAAGAGAGTGCATTTGGAGATAACAAAGATACCTGTGCTTTTCTCTCAAATGGATCTATCAAAGGTTTATTTGCTCGATGTGCTGAATGTGTAGAACGTCTCTCTGGCGATGGCCAATATATGACTATCGGATTAATCCATTATTTTAAAATTTTGCTTATTTGCAATTAATTGTATTTGTCCTCTTACAACGAAATGTGTCATTTACTAATTGGCTTTATGAAAACTTTAATAATAACTTAATCTTAAACAAATCTTCTCTACTCCAGTGCTATAACACATTAATCCTGCTTTGTTAAACAGTAGAAGAGCTGAACTTTTAACTTTTAATCCTTCCAGTGTTTTAGATTTTTTTTGTCCTGTTTAACTGAACGTTGTGCTTTGCCTTTTAGATTGAAGAACCACAGTTCAACATTGTTCCTGTGAATGGTATGTCAGTGCTTTTGTTTTGCCAGCACTAAATAAATGCTAATCTTACATTAAACCAGCCAGAGTGACCTGAGTGTTTCACTTTCATCCCAATATATTTCTCTTTTTTTCTTTTTCAGGACAAGTCTCTCTCAAGAGCTGCTTTGAATTCTTCGAGGAGCTGGACGTTCACTACCACAACCGCTTCTTCCGCCATCTTGGCCTTTCGGACAACGTCATCAAAAGCAAAGAGTCCCTCGTGTACGTGGACCGCGTGCACGACCTGCTCTACCTCTGGATGGAGAAACGCGGCAGAGAAGCCAGTTTACAAGACCTCCTGAAAGCTCTGATGGACCTGAACCAGAGGCGAACAGCGGAGATCATAGTGGAGCGCGCGGTCGGAGCTGGACACTTTGTCTATGAGTGACCACAATGAGCATATGGAGATTTTCATCAAGAGTCCACATATGCCATACTTTTCCGAAAAACAAAGGCATTATTGAGTTAACGTGCAGGTAGAGTGCTGTACGCATTGATGACTCTTCAGAGAAAGTTGGTCTACCTAAGATTGTGAAACTTAGTGAAGCAAAACCAAGGCTGAACAGGAGGAATTAGGTCCAAACCAGGTCTCCACTAAGATCGACTCTGGCTTATTTAGAATAAACAACTAGAAGGAATGTATTCACCAATGAAAGACTTAAACCTGAACCAGGACCAAACCAGGACTAAAAAGACTAAAAGAGAGAACAACAGACTGTTAACGTCACATATGAACAGTTCTTCAGAATAACTATAACATAAACAACAGAATAGAACAAGTTTACCAAACTCTCCATCTCACTCCAAATCACTAAATCCATTTAATTCTTCATCCTTGGTGTCACTTCTGTGCGACCTCCAGAGATAAACCGTAAATCCATGATGACTTCAGGAAAGTTGCACTGTGGACACGCCCGGTTACCGTGAAGCTGTGTTCTTTATCCCCACTTTCCGCCAGTCAATCACAAGTTTCTCGCTCACTTCAAACTTTTTCTGCTGCTCGAATACCTTTTTTGGCTGCATGTTTCACTACTTGCAGCAGGACAGAGGCTCTTTCTGCAGGAGACATGCACATTAGAGTGAAGTGACAGTGGTACAGGAGTAATAGTAGTACTAGATACTGACACACAAGACTAGAGCCTCTCGCTGCTGTCAGGGTGAACATTTTAATATATAAGTTGCAGGAAACACCCAAACCATTAAAAAAGTGCCACTTATAGTCTGAAAAATATGGTAATTGACATTTTGATATTTTTGAACATTTTAAACCCAGACCAAACCAAGCATAATTTGTGGGAGACACCTTCTGGTTTTGGCGATTGCAAATATGAGCTAAGTTCAAATGTAGACCTCTGCATTAACATGTACTGAATGTATTGTTTTCTGTTTACAGAGAGCATATGAAAATGTGTCAAACTGAATTTTTATATACGATTACTTGAAATTAATGTCATACTTTTGTGTTGTTTTTTTTTTTGTATTTTCACACTATGTATTTATACAAGTTTATTTATATGTGGATGTTTTTGTGTGTTTTGTACATATTTTTGTCATTTTTTGTGTTGATCAGGAATAAGAATTTTTTTTTTCTCTTACTACTGAATGTTCCTTAGTGGCATACTGCTTGGAAAACGAAAGTAATAGTTTCATGTGGTACAATACATTCAGTCATATTTTGAAATGATTGAAAAGTTGAGAGGAAATCAATTGTTTATTTCTTTACATTTTCAAACCAGGCATTCTAGCTTTTTTCCTTCCAGTGAAAATGCGTTCTGAGTAGGACATTTAAGTCTAACATCAACTAAAAACAAGTACCACATACAACTCTTAAAAAATGTAAACCAAATCTAGAGAAAGCCTCATGTGCCATACTTTTGAATCCGTTCTGTTGGAGTTACATTATTAACCGTGACTGTTTGCACTGGCAATGGTCATGGTTCAGTTACTTGAGAGTGAGAATATTTGAGTTTTTCTTAGGTACGCATGAGATCTGTATGTGAATTATGAATGTCAAACTTTAAAGACCATTAAAAAGAATGTTTATATATGGCTGCTGACTGTGACTGGGCTGGGGTCGGGTCAGCATTATAACAGAACTGTGTGACCCTGATGACACAGATTATATTCTTTGAAAACCGCCACACTTTCTTTACATACCAGATAAACTGCACACTCCTCACACTGAACAAAAAAAGAATCGATCATCTGTGCACTGTCATTTGAAAACTCCACATTCTCTGTCAACTTTTTGTACTTAATACAATATCAAAATACTTCAGTTATTGTTAATCAAAGGTCTCCCAATAATATTGTCACAATATATCCAATTACAAGTTCCTTTGCTTGAATGCATGGTTTTATAATAGTAAACAGCTAATGAATATCCACAACTACATATCCCATGATCCCATTTCTGTGCAGACAACATGAAGAAATGTTTTTTACTTGAATTCTGGGGACTGTGACAAATAATTCATATCAAAATCTTGTCATAGTATTTTAAAAGCAGAAACGTGATCTATCAATTTTATTAGTTTGCTCTTGTCACGTGGCACGGTGCAGTCCCTCCGGAGCCTGCTCCAGATGCCCTCCCAGGAGCCGAGAGCAGGAAGTCCTGTCCGAGTCCATATTGTTTACAAGAGCCGAAATGTGTCTAAACTGCACAAAAGAGCTGATTGGAGTGAAAAACATAAATACAGACGTCTTTCTTTAGTCAGACGGAGTTGGGGAAAATGCCTTTCTTGCGTCTCCATTGTCCCTGTATTTTGGAAGGAAAAGCATGAGTGTGACAGAAGGTCAGTAGAAGGCCGTTTTTCTCCTCATTGAGTAGCGCGGGACTCGCGGTGCCCAAAGAGCTATAATGCCCAAGCTCAGGAGGTAAGTGCCAAAAGTGCGCAGCGCCATCTTGTGGCCATATCCCAAAAGTGTTCTCCTCCAGAAGAGCGGGTTCCAGTCCCACAGTTGTACAATCACCAGCTCCACAACACTCACTGTAGACAGAGGGAAGGGAGAGACTAGAACATCTCACTTTGTGGATAGTGTAGCTGTGACCTTGAACTGCCCCTCGCCCTGCACAAGGTCAATGGCTTTTTGGTCACTAGTGTCAGCTACATTTTGATTTGTCTTTTAATTTACATAATGAAATGTACAAAACTCTGGATGGGAGATTGCTTTTTACACGTACATTTTAAAACATTTACAATATAATACAATCAAACTTGATGACATTCAGTGCACACATTGTCATTGCAGTTTTAAGATTCCAAATATAAATATTTGGAGACATCATCACAAAGTAATTGTATGTTCTTGTCAGAGATCTTTAGGAGTGACATAGAAGCAAAATATGACTGTAATTCAGATTTAAACAACAAAAGAGACAGATTTACTTTTATGTATGTGCTATTTAACCGTCATTATAATTGTATTGCAAAGTCTCAATTTATTGTTTGGACATTTGTTTATACCGTATAGTATTTTCTCTGTCCATCTTAATATTCAAGCAATTTATTCAATTGTTCCAGAAATGTTTTGCCCTGTCCCAGGAGAAAAAACAGATGTTTGATTGTTTCCTCCTCTTGAGAGCGAAAGACACATGGCTCCACCTCAACCAAACCAAACCTTTTTTTTTTTTTTTTTTTTTTTTGCAGCATTGCTGTTGGATAGTAGCCATTTATGATTTTAAACAGCATTTCTTTTACTTTGGGGGTATGGGCCATTTCATAAATTTGATACATTTATTGTTTTTTTTGCCATCACCATGATAAATGTTTGAATTTCTGTCAAAATTATTAAATCATTTACCTCTGAATATTTTTTAAAATTGTTTTATTATATTTTTTTTTATCATCTAAGGGAATTTGAGCCCATTTTCATTTAGGCAAGAAGATTATTTGTCCTTTTGAATAAAGCACAAATACAAAACTAAATAAATAGTTTTACATCAGTTTTAAATTTGTATATTAAATTTGGTTTCAAACTCTTTCAAATGAAGGAACTGACCTTGCATGTCTAATGAATCTGTGACCAAAATTAAAATTTTTTTGTACCATTTTTGAATGAATGTTTTCCTATTTGATGTAATTGCTCTATTGTTCCATAAGGTGGAGTCATGTGGCGTAAAGTTCTGGGTAAATACCATCTTCCAATAATGGAGAATCTGTTTGTGGTATTCAGTACTTTTCCACCTGATAGAAAGGTTCAGTTACCTTTAATAGACTTAAACACTATCTGCTTGTTATAAGGGATGATAATTGGAAATTATTTGTGGTACTTTGTTTGTGATGGTTTTGGTGGTGCAGTAAAACGCTCGGCTGCAAGGGCCAGTCTTCAGGTAACTGACAGCAATCAAATATTGACTGCACTCCAGGGGCCTGATCTTGCCCCCAGATCTTAGCACTTAGCACAAGTGTGGGGCGTGGAGCTCTAAACAGTCAGTGAGCCGTGCCAGGCAACTGTTGAGCTTTCTGAGGAAAGGAGAGTGTCTGGGTCAAAGGCACTTCTATAGCCAAAATGCTCAGACATGTCATTTCTGTCGAATGTGCCCAAATGGCTCCTTGTATTGGTGCCATGCTTGCCAACCATTTGACAAATTATTTGAATGAAAAATTCAGCGGCTTGGAAAAGGTGAACTCCCTGTCTGTGGCCACCATCTTGGATCCACGGTTTAAACAGGCTGCCTTTACTAATCAAAGCAATGCCCAGGCTGCTGTAGAAAGGCTGACACCAGAGTGTGCCAGTCCGGCAGAAGATGTACCACTGGAGACTGCAACAACATCTGCCAGTGCTGGTGAACAAAATGACAACTTGTGGGCTTTACTGGACAACTATGTAGAGTCTCAGCACCGCACCAGTGCATCTGCCAGCACTACAGTGGAGATCCAGAGGTGTGCATGTGCATTACTGTTGATGTTGATGTTGTTACTGTCAGTCATTGTCTTACTGTCTGTGTCATAGATATTTGAAAGAACAAATTCTGACAAGAGCAGAGGATTCCCTGAAATACTGAGTGGCACGAAAGACTTTATATCCTACGCAGTGAAAACTTGCATTCAAGTATCTGTGCATCCCAGCATCATCTGTTCCCTGTGAAAGGATATTTTCCAAAGCTGGGGAGCTGGTCAGCCAGAAGAGGAGCCGACTGAAGCTTGTGACAGTAGAAAAAATTATTATAAAATCCTGTGAAGACAAATATTTTGTCTGCTCCTGTGAATAATCTTTTCAAATCAACCATACAGGTCCCCAAATGACAAACCATTATCTTTAAAGATTTTCCTTAAAAACTCTTCACACACACAAACCCAGTGTTTTTGAATTCAAACACCAGGATCATTTGTAAAGTAGGAAGGGTCTCTAATCCTGTTAGGGACTTTTAAGTAAGTTTAAATCTTTAACGAAACCCTTAACCAACATTTAACACTTAATATAATTTGCATTTATTCTTTAGGTTAATCTGGGATGTGTTTTAGAGTATGGAGGAGAGCACCTGCATATTTTATTGTAATGACGATATTATCATTATTTGTTATGAATGAACAAGACAGTTGAATGACTACACAGACTTTTCTGAGCTTTTACTGCCCTTATAAGATTGAAACAGAGCCAGTGCTTGAGTCGTGCTCTTTAGAGGTTGCTATGGCTTCACTTGTCCACCAGATGTCACCGTCACTGAAGTCTTGAAACTTTGAAGCTTTTTCGGCACAGTTGTTTGGAAAGCCTCAGTAAAGCCTCACTTGCCCACCACTACTGATCTGAAACAAAGTCACAACACAAGTCTGACCTTCAGTAATTTTTTAAAACTTCAAATCCCAGATACAAACAAAAAGGCACCATACAAACATCACATCCAAACCTAGTAAGAAAAAATCTAATCACAGTTGTGAGGAAAAATAAAAACAAAAATACATTCATGAATGAACCATGGGGGCAAATTCTAAAGCCTGTAATCAAAGGAACAAATTGACATCATTCAAAAAAGATACTAGAAACCAGCTTCTCTTTTTTCAATCAGGTTCAATGAGTCAACAAAAATTCTTAGGTCATTACCAAAGTACGTTATATTTGGTTTTACCTTAAAACATCGACATTTGTGAATAAAAAATTTACCTAAGATTAATAAATTATTAATTCCAAATTCCTTCCTTTTAACTTCCCTTATTACACCAAATTTTATTTCTTTTATTGTTAGGGGGGCAAATTTAATTCCCCTGGACTGAAGCAATGAATGAAAATCAAACCAAAATTGTTGTACCAAACTACATGAAAAGAAAAGATGTTCCAAATCTTCTTCCCCTGTGTCGCAGAACACACATTTACCTGTTTCCAATTTGAATTTTTGTTTTAGGAATTCATTGGTTGGATAAATATTATTCAAAATTTTAAATTGTATCTGCTTTACTTTGGGGGAACTGGAAAGGAAAGATATTTAGTTCTAATTATTTTAATATCTTTCTTTTCAAAGTTCTTTTTAAGAATACAATCTCTTTTAACTGGCTTGGGAAAGGAAACGTTTAGTAAGGAACATCTCAAAAATGTGTTATTGCACTTTGAATCACAAAATTCAACCCCTTCAATGCAAAGTTGTCTCAGTCCAGGAGAATTACTAGAGTACAACATATCCTGCCGAGACATAGTTCTAACCTGTAAAGGGATAACTTTTATAAGACCAGTGTTGGGAAGGTGACTTTTAAAATGTATTCCCCTACAGATTACAGATTACATAACCCAAAATGTAGTTTGTAACATAATCCATTAAATTACTTAAAGTGAGTAACGTAATCTGAATACTTTGGATTATTTGATATTGTCATGCTTTTTAAAACTACATGAATGAACCAACCACATCCTGAAAATTCTTGTTTGTTTTCTTCAAATTGTCTGTTGAGCCCAAGTCTCCATGAACAGGATTTTGTTTTGCTGTAGAGAAGCAAAGACAAACATCTGAACAGAAGATGTTTGTCTGTTAAAAGAAAATAAAAAGCCTTGACTTTACTTAAACATATTAAAAATATTATTGATAGAGAAAAGATTTTTATATGAGATCACTGAAATTATGTCCACACTACTGTTAATGTCATATTGTTTAGTCCTGGTTTTAGTCCTAAATTAGTTCTGGTTTAGTACTGGTTTGGTCCTGGTTTTAGACTTGATTTAGGCATGGTTTAGTCCTGGTTTAATCCTGGTTTAGTCCTGGTTTTAGTCCTGGTTTAATCCTGGTTTTAGTCCTAATTTAGCCCTGATTTAGACCTGGTTTAGTCCTGGTTTAATCCTGGTTTATTCCTGCTTTTAGATCTTAATTAGTCCTGTTTAGATTTGGTTTAGTCCTGCTTTTTAGACCTGGTTTAGTCCTGGTTTAACCCAAAATGTAAAAATAGGAGAATACCGCCATGTAATCCATTTATTTCAACAAAGTAACTGTACAAACAAAGTAACCACTCACTGAAACAGTAACTGTAACTGAATACAGTTACTCATAATTTGTACTCTGATTACGTAATGCTGGTACATGTAATCTGTTACTCCCCAACACTGTATAAGACCTTTAGTCAAGTGTCAAGCATCAAAATAATTCCCCTGCCAAAGTGCAAAATTAATCTTGCTATTTATTCTACATCCTTTTTCTCTCCCTCTCTACCCGTGTTCGCCATCTAGTGGACAAATAAGGGTCATCAGCTGTTAGATTTTATATTTAGCTAACAAATTTACTATTGTCTATTTTATAATATTTAGAAACATTATAATCATACACTTTTTGTATTTATTGCTTTAATTTATTATTTACTCTCTTTTTTATTGTCTTAATTTGTCTGTGCAACACTTTGAAAACCCGTCATGTTAATAAATTGTGCTATATAAATAAAGTGGATTGGATCATAATCAGTAATAAAATGTATAGGATGTTAATATGTATGATATAGGTTTATTATTGCTTTCATTTCACTCAATTTGTTATCTCGCTCTTTAAAACTACATTTCCCATCAGCCTTTGCAATATCAATAAGGAAATGAGCCAGGTAGACCCGTGCCTCCTGAATTTCCAGCTTGTGTGCTGCTACTCAACGCGACTGTGGACATTTGACGCTTTTGTTACGTGTTTAAACTTTTTATTTATTCGAGTTTGGGGCGTAGATGAGGAGTTTATTTCAGTCGTAACTTGTAATGTGTGGTTTTCCGACATTTACGTGAGGTCATTTGAGGCCACGACAGTAAGGCAGACACTTGTCTTGCAGAAATGGTCGTATTATTTTCAGGTGACTGACGCAAGGATAAAGTTTATGTAAGTATCAGATTTTGTGTTAAATTAATTTTGCATAACATTTGATTATCTAATGCGCTTTATTTTTTATGGTTCAGGGTGTGTTGTGAATTGAAATAACCAATTTTGACTGACTAAAAATATGCCCTCTCTATAATTGTTAACATTTTGAAAGATATTAATCAAAATCAACAAAGCTTTTTAAATGTTTTTATATGACCGGAATGTTTAAAATTTTGGAAGGGAGGTAATGTAGGCAAAATTGTAAATAAAAATAAAATAAAATAAATAAAAAATACATCTTCAGCAATCAACAGGCATCAGATCTTTATCATTTAAAAAAAGAACTACTATAGACTTTAAATAATTGTTTGGGTGGGACGAGACAAATTAATAGTTTCTCGAGAAAAACACTCACCGGCACTTTTATATTTTTTTTGCCAAATGTAAACACAGTGAGAAAAAAAACCCAATACATTTCAAGTACATTTCCTCTTGTGGCATTTTTATCTCATGAGATTTTCTAATAATTGTGTACTCTAATGATCTACTATCCAAATAACATAAAGTGATGATATGCTGAGGCTCATCCCCAAATTGCCTCCAGTAGCCTCCGTTGTGGTTCAGTTTGTATTTGACTGCATTAGTTGTGCAGTTTATGGCATGTCATTGATCACAGTATGAATAGCAGATGCAGCAGGAGCCTCCAGCTCTGAGCTCTGCTCCTCTCAACCTCCAGCTCACACAGTTCAGCTCTGAACCAGGACAAAGTAACTCCAGATCAGCCAGAAGAGCAGCCCATCTGAGGGAGGGACAGAAGAAGGTGAGTAATGAGATAAACATTGACTCTGTAATCCTATGGGTGTGTGCTCAAATTATTACTAACGGTTACTAAAAAGACTATTGTTCAGACAACTGAACATGTCTCCTGCAAAAATAACAAATATATAGTTCATAGGTTTCAGAACTTTACAGCATGAAATGTATATGTGTTATCTTACTACTGGAAAAAGTAGTGTACATGTTTTGGACTAGACATTTTTTATTTGACTCACTCCAGCGGAAGTTTCTGTAGCAGTTCAGCACATAAGCACATGCATGGTGTAAGACAGGATGACATGAGTATGCTGTAATAATAATGTTTTAGGTCCAAACACACTGCACGTGTCAGCGTTTACATATGTAAGCTCTCAAAACCACAGCGCCTTGTCACTGCGAGGATGGCCACAGTATCAGCTCCATCAGCGCGTGGCACTGGCTCCGTGCTTCTGTTATACTGTGTTACATTTGCTTTGTGTGAAATAAACGTGGTGAGGCAAGGCAGCTTTATTTGTATAGCACAGTTCATATACAGAGTAAAAAGCAAAATGCTTTACAGAAGACATTAAAATCATAATGCAACAAAACATAAATAATCATCATAAAATTTGCATTAAAAGAGAAAAGTGCAGAAGAAAAACCTTTCAGTCAAACTTGCAGAGTGTCCTGGACCTTACAAGACTCCCCTAAACAACACTGTACTTAGTCACTCATTCACTTCACACTCACACTGGGGTCAAACTATTTCTGTAGCCACAGCTGCCCTGGGGCAGACTGACGGAAGCCATACTGCACCATCGGCCCTTCAGACCACCACCTCCATCACTCACGTAGCTCACACCACATTCATAGGGCAGGTGGGTGAATTATCTTACTCAGTGATTGGACAGTACATCCTGGAATTGACCTGCTGACATTGGAGGTTAGAGGGCCAATGCTCCAACCACTGATTCTAGTTACAATGTTCTTTCTGTTCTATTACCACAATATTATTGTGCTGTAAAGTTCTAAAAACATCCAACACAAACACAAATCTTAAAATGCAGGAACAATTTACCCAGCAGAAATTCTCTCTACTGGCAATTTAAACCTTTATGTGGGCACAGTCGTGTCTTTTTACTTGTCAAATAATAACTATTGTATAAATTAGACTTGTTTTGGTCCTTGTTTACCGTTTGGTTTTTAGACCATGGATTTACCTCTACATATGTCACATCTGCTGCACGTGTCCAACCAGGAAGTCAAATGACAAACTTCACAGAATTTGAAAAACTGAAAACTTGGGAAATATTATTAGTAAAAAGTATCATCTGACCTTTCATATGCACCTTAACTGTTTGGCTTACACACTTGTGTTTCCCTGTCCCAGCCTTCAGGCACCTCCAGGATGCGAGCCGTAGTGAGCCTGTCCATCTGCCTGCTCGTGTGCCTCGCTCTGGGCTTGGCCTGTGTGCTGCTGGTTTATCTCTGGAGCTCCAGGTTCAGAGGAGGATTCCAATGGGATGGATCGGAGCTGGAGTTTAACTGGCACCCTGTACTCATGACCTCAGGGCTGGTGGTCATGTACGGATATGGTGGGCAGAATTCTTACCCGTCTTTATTTTGAAATCCAAATTAATTTTTAATCTTATGACTTAAATTAGTGCCATAGTTTAGTCAAGATTTTGGCAAATTTTTATTTTAGTTTTTGTGAATGAAATGTAAATAGTACATCTAAACAACCAAGCAAAAGTTTTCGGGGGATAGTCTCTCTCCTGAGCTTCTTTCACATCTCAGCACTCCTGCCTAAAAGGTACCGTTCGTACACTAGATGGCAGATGTGAAACTGTTCTCCCCTCTCCTCACCTGGGCTGTGTCTCATTTCTCTTTCCTCGCATCCTTCTTGATTCCTCTCCTCGATTCTGCAGGAAATGTGCGAGGAAGTCTCGCCCACAGAGGAGACACAAGGACAAGAGAGGACCTAAACTCCTCACCGAGGCCAATTAAGTTTGATTCTTTTCTCTGACGTCTGCTCCTGAAGCTTCCCTCAGTTTTACTCCTTCCTTCTGCGGTTTTCTTTGGAACACCACTTAATTGACAGCTGAAAAATGGAGGATCGAGGAATCAAGGAGACAGAAGCGAGGAAAGAGAACTGAAACGCGGCCCTGATCTTTGTTCAGGCTCACTATGCGCTCTGGTCTTCTTCTGTCAGGCCAAGGCTGCTTACTGTCAGACAGCAGTAACATAGACAGAATCTGGTGGTGACTAGAGATGCTAAACCACGGGTCGGGCGGATGACGTGACGAAAAATAATATTTTAATTAAATTTGGGCGGGTGGTGGATTCACTACTCAAATAAAAAACTCTGAACTTGGAGCAAATGGGAGGAGACCGAGCGGATGGCGGGCGGGTGCGGTTTTGAAAAACTGTGGTTGCAAATGGATAGCGGGCGGATGATGAGTTTTGCGATGCGGTTGCGGATGAAAAAGTAGCCCATCCGCGCATCTCTAGTGGTGACACATGAGAATACAACAAGGCTGGATCATCAAAACTTCAGACACTGTCCAGTTTTACAACTAATTTGGACTGTGGTTGTGGCAGAGTTTTGGTGTTTAGTCAAATCAAATGACAGAGGTTCCACATTCTAGTCCCACATTATAAGACAACGTAAAGTTTCAGAGGACATCTTTATCAAAGTTGATGATTACATATTCAGTACTAACATTCTTTCTGTCTTGTCCTCTTGTTTAGCGGCTGTGTTGTACCGTGTCCCTCTGACCTGGGGGCAGTCTAAACTCCCCTGGAAGCTGCTTCACTCTGGGCTCATGCTCCTGGCTCTGCTCCTGTCTGTGGTGGGGCTGTGCGCTGTCTTTGACGTCCACAACAAGAAGAACATTCCCTGCCTCTACTCGCTCCACAGCTGGGTCGGAATCAGCGCCGTGGTGCTCTTCGCTGTACAGGTACCATGAGGAATATTACAACTAGTGCTGTCATGCGATTAAAAAAATTGAGAGATTTTTAATTATGATCTGTAATTAATTAATCTCATTAATCTAATTTTAATCTCACCTAAAAATTGCTGAGAAAAGCCTTCAGTTTGAGGTATTTTCATTTAAATTCATTATTACATTATTGTGGCAGATCAAAAGACTGATATAAATTTAAAAAAGTGACTTTATAAAGTCATTTATTGTTTAACAAATCTCTCCAAATTGTCTGTTGAGCCCAAGTCTCTATGAATAAGAAACTGTTTGCTGTAAAGTAGCAAAGACGAGGAAATCTGAACATAATAACTTTTGTCTACTTAAAGACAATAAAAAGTCCAGTCTTTCCTTAACCATATTAAAAATATTATTGATAGAGAAATGCTTTATATATGAGATCACTGGTTTTAGTCCTGGTTTTAGTCCTGGTTTAGACCTGCTTTAGTCCTACTTTAGTCCTAGTTTAGTCCTGGAAAGGGTTAGTCCTGGTTTAGTCCTGGTTTAGACCTGGTTTAGACCTGGTTTTAGTTCTGGTTTTAGTTCTGGTTTTAGTTCTGGTTTTAGTTCTGGTTTAGTCCTGGTTTAGACCTGGTTTAGTCCTGGTTTAGTCCTGGTTTTAGTCTTGGTGTTAGTTCTGGTTTAGAGGCGCACAGGAGGAAGCGCGGTTTACGCCGCGTACGCGAGAAAACACGATCCACACGCGGCTCACGGGAGCACGTCGGTGTCCGCGCAGCGTCTACGGAAGGAAATGTGGTCTGCGCGTTCTCAGGTTAATGACGATGATGAAGGTGTGTGTTTGTTTGTGTGTGTTTGTGTGTGTTTGTGTGCGTGTCCCCTCATGTGGCAGGTCACTATAGGACAGTAGTGCAGACATCATGAGCCTATGCAGGTTGTTTTCACCAGTGACATTTAAGATGTAGGTGATATTATATTTGTTATTTTCTTTTATATTTCACGTTGGGAGAATAATTTCCAAGACATGAATGTGTTTTTACCTGTGCACTGCTGCCTCTGTTCTACTGGCTCTTCCACCTCGTCCATTGTGCGACTGACGCCGCCAACGTTAACATGACGTTTACATCGCTTTTACTGTGCACGTTTTGTGTGGGTTTCCGGCAATGAGTGGAATTACCGAAATAAAAAAATGTATAAATGTGTTTTGTGTGTGTGTTGTTGTCCCAACAACACATAAAAACAGAATTTATAATAAAGCAACTCGCATACAGAAACAGTAAAGTTAGAGATTAAAAATTAGATTAACGTGATTAAAAAACATAACACGCTAAATATGACTGTAATTGACTTCTTAGGACTTTCTTGTCTCTCAGTAAGACTTCCTGATGAAATCAAATGTGATACTCAACTACAAGGAACCAAAATGTAAGATTTTGACTTTTCATGTCATAAACTTGAGCTGTGTTCCCAGATACGAGGTAGACATGTTCAAATCAAATCAAATCGTAGCTTTTACTAATTTGGTGCTTTGGTTTCAAGGTGATTATCCAATCAGAAAGCAGAATCAGGTTAACATGAGTCTCTGTTTGTGTTGCCAGTGCTGAAATTCAGTTGGTTTAAACTAGGGATGGGCATTCGATGAAATTTTCTTAATCGATCGTCGGAAGAATTAAGGATCGATTATCGATTAATCATTAACGTTTTTATATTAAAATGATCATCATTATTATTACTATCTGCACTACTAATCTGCATAAATAAATTCAACTTTACGACGTATAAACCGTAACGACTCTAGAGCCACATCAATCCGTTTGACATTATAATGTGTTTAATTCAGTTTTGTGCAACTCTCACAGAAACAAAACTTAAAACCGCATCGCTAATTTACATAAACTCAGCAAAGATAAAACTACAGCTCTTGTGTCGCTGATGCGGTCAATTTCTGTCGGATTAAAAGACATGATTCAGTGGAATACTGTACGGGGGGAGGGAGGTTGGGACTCGTCATCGACATTGCGCGACTCTCACCTGGCAAAGCTTTTTCCCACTGGACACCGAAACATATGTGCTGCTTTGTACACTGTGCACATGGACTCCCACTTGTCCCGAACGCAACAGAAAGCGTGGAATTTCTTGTACAAATCATCGTTAAATACACATTTGTGCTTCGGCACGTTGCAGGCTGACCTACTGTTTGTGTCTCGCTCCTTCTGAGTGCAGAGAGACACATTCGGTTTGTCGATTAAAATTAACGTAATCGATGAAATTCTTAATGATCAATTATCGATTAATCGATTAATCATGCCCATCCCTAGTTTAAACCTAAAATGTGTCTCTTCGATCTGAATGGTCACTACCTAAACCCCAGCACCTGCACCAATCATGAGTCAGTGCTAGTGCAGCCTCTGCAGCTCAGGGAGGCAATTCTGGAGGTTCTGAGCTTTTACATGAGACATGTCCATAAATTGAGAATGAGAAAAACTGGCACGTGTCCTTTATCTGCAGGTTAAGGCTCTGGCAGCACAGGTTCACTCATGCCCTATATACCGTATTTCCCGGACTATAAGTCGCACCGGACTACAAGTCACACAAATGTATTTTATAAAATCAGAGACCAGGAACTGACATTTCATCTTGAAAGGCAAGTTCTAGTAATAACAACAGAATAGAGAATAACAGACTGAATAGGCATTAATATGTCAATGTATCATATTAACCAGTAACTAGAGCATAAACAACAGAACATAAGTTTACCAAACTCACAATCTCACTCCAAATCACTAAATCCATTGAATTCTTCATCCTCTGTGTCACTTCTGTGTGACCTCCAGAGGTAAACCATAGATCCATGAGGTAAAAAGAGCACCACTTCCTCTTCTGTGTAGCTGTTGTCAGACTCGGCATCAGTTCCAGTTAGAATTATTCCGACCGTTCTGAATCCTGACAGGATGGTTTTGATTGTCATTGAAGTTCAGGCTTTGTTGATTCATCCAGTGACTTCCAGGAAAGTTACATGGCGCACCTGCTCGGTTGCCGTGAAGCTGTGTTCTTCATCCCTGCTTTCTCCCAGTCCCTCACAAGTTTCTCATTCACTTCAAACTTTCTTTCTGCTGCCCAGTTACCCCTTTCGGCAGAATATTTCACTATTTGCAGCAAGACATCAGCTTTTTCTACAGGAGACATTCGCAGTAGAGACAAGTGACAGTAGTACAGGAGTAGCAGATACTGACACACAAGAGTAGAGTGCCCTCTCGTGACTGTCAGTCTGAAAATTTAAATATATAAGATCACCCAAACCATGAAAAAAGTGTGACATATAGTCCGAAAAATACAGTAGTTCCTTTTACCTATTTGTATCTTAAGACTTATGTGTTATTTCTGTAACATTTGCACATGTGTGTTGTCATATTTTGATGATCTTTCCTATCAGGAAAAACTCTGTGTACTAGTTACTGGTTAAGTTTACATGCACACCCAAACTCTGATCATTATCTGATTTCCAGAGCTATCAGATTATTGAAATACTATGCAAACTGAGTAATCTGATTTCTTTCTGATCGTTCACACGTGCAGTTTTAGACGAGAAAAACTATGCAAAACTGAAAGAGAAAATGTTAAAGATTTAAAGAAAAGTTATTTGAAGTTAAATTTATTATTTGATAATACAACAGTTCCTCTAAAGATCCACTGAATAACTGACACATGCAGTAAACAGACACACACACCAGAAATCAGATCAGATTATTGGGTTATCTGATTATTCTAGTTGTCAAATTCATATTTTTGTCTATCAGAAATACAGTTTTGTTCATTGTATTGTGTGTGTACCACTTGTGTCCAGTGGGTGGCAGGCTTCACCGGCTTCCTCCTGCCCTGGTCTCCTCTGTCCTTCCGGAAGCTGCTCAGACCTCTGCACGTGTGGCTTGGGGGCAGTATCCTGACCCTCAGCATCGCAGCCTGTGTCTCTGGGATCAACGCAAAACTCATCTTTGTCCTGTGAGTCTTCAGATTTTAGCCAGACATTTATATGGGTTTTAAAAGCAGTGTACATTATGTTTGTGTTTTACTCATACATTTTTTTCTGATAACATGTTATTTACAGATAAAAAGTACTAGGCTTTTGTAGAGTTTGAAAGAAGTCGTCTCAATGAGGTCTTATTGTAAATGACATAAACATGCTTTCTGAAATCTGTATTAATCATGAATTAAGAGGAATTCATTTATGCAAAATCAACTTCATCAGAAACATGCCTGAAGAGGTTTTAGATTTCATCCATACATGTTTGCATAATTCTCCAGACTAAATTCAATGTGTTAACAATGAAGCAAATTGAAAACCTTTTAAATAAATGCTGACATAACATGAACATGAACATGGTGAAAAGATAGAAAAGGTAGAATGTTGTCCCACCAACTGCGTCAACAGCATTCTGACCAAGCTATTCTTACAATTAATGGAGAACATGGTGTTAAGTTGACAGATCCTTTGGAGATCAACCATAGATTCACTGAGTATTACACACAACTGTATACTTCTGAGTCCAATAGAAACAAATTGCTTTTTGACAGCTTTTTTAGTAAACTTAGTCTGTGCACTATTGGTGAGGACTCGGCTAAAAACTTGGAAAGGCCTTTTTCAAAAGAAGATTTTTTTTTTTCCAACTTTGTTTATTGAACATTTTTAACATTAACAAACAAACAGAGTGCACTGTATTGAATAGTACCATTACAGATATAACAGTAAGGAGGACACATCTGAATGTCAACACCCCCCCGAACAACCTAACCCTGGCCAAACAAGCCAAAATAAAATAAACAAATTAAATACATTAAAAATAAAATAAAATAAAATAATATAAAATAATAATAATAAAATTGATAAAAGAAGATTTTAATTTTTTTTTAAGCAATTGTATTCATGCAAAATGGGAAATCACCAGGACCAGACGGCTTTCCAAGTGAATTTTTCAAAACATTTTCTAATGACCTGGCCCCTATCCAACTTTCTGTTTATGACGAGTCCTTGGTCTCTGGTTTATTCCCAGAAACTATGAGACAGACTGTTTATATCTCTGATCTACAAGAAAGATAAAAATAAATTAGAATGCGGCTCTTACCGGCCCATTTCCTGATAGTCAAATTTTTGCTAAAATACTTGCATGTCGTCTGGAAATCGTTTTGCCTTCCATTATATCTGATGATCAAACTGGGTTTATTAAGAACCGCTACTCAATCCATAATATCCGCAGACTCCTAAACATCCTTCATCATCCCACTCCCCCAACACATCACAAGTAATCTTATCATTTGAATGTGGGATTATCTTTTCTATACACGTTATGCAAACATGTATACATACAGGGTTTGAATTGATCTCTCGTGGTCTCAATTCAGACCCTTCTTGTGGTTAACAGTGCGAGCTTCTATAAGGCTCCTTGCACAAGCCTACGTAACTCCTGCCCCAACATGGCCATTTTTCATAGATATACAAAAGCAGGATACAAAAAAATACACTACAACTTCACAAACCTGATGTGATGTGCAGTAGTTTCATTAGAAGAAAGCGCACCTATTACGGGTAAGGGAGCAGGGACAAAACTACTTTTCAGCAATAAGTCTATGTAACATGTCTTTTACAAGGAAAGGAAACAACCACACAGAGCCGTACAGCAGACTCCCTCCTGAGGCCCTTTTGGCGAATTCTCTGGGAGTTATGATCGTAGCGTTTGGGTTGGTGGTGCTGAGGATTCTAACCAACAAGAAGTGGCAAAGACCTGACCCCCAACCACTAGACACTGCTTATAGGGTGAGAAACTAAAACAAATGCTTTTTAATTGTATTACTGTACTGCAGGGGTCTCCAGACTTTTTCTTCCGGTGAGCTACCTTTACAAAAAGAAAATGCCAAAGAGCTACTTATTTTAGCAGTCACAAGAAATTGAGCAAAGGAAGACATGAGATGGGGAACAGCTCAGTACCTATAAAACATAAACCTTTATCCATTTGTTTGTGCACAAAGTTTAAGGTGACCAGATTTTCAAAATTTAAAAACTGGGACATCCCCCTTTTTGTGGTGGTTGGGATTAATAAAATTGTGAAACGAGTTGTGTAATTTTGGAAAATTGTTAGTCATATTTTCTTTGTGTTTTGATCATTTTTAAGCAGCTTTCCGTATTTTACCTACAAATAACAATGTATGTCTTTCTTTGCTGTTGGCAGGGATCAGATTGGTCAAAAATAGTGACACCTGGGACATTTCTTTTATAAAAAACTGGGACAAATCACTGGTTTTGGATAAATCTGCTGAGACAGGGGACACAGGGCTCAAAACTGAGACTGTCCCAGGTAAATAGGGATGTCTGGTCACCCTAACCACGTTGGGTATAAAATTATACATTTACAATGGCAGTTCATCAGATTTGAGCCCAATATGTATAATTCAGAAACCCTTTGGTGAGCTACTTGAAAGGTGGTGTAGCGCTACTGGTAGCTCCCGAGCTACAGGTAGGAGACCCCTGCTGTACTGTGATTGAGCAATAGTCCCTGTTTAGTAATTCCATGTCTATGTCATAACTACTTGTAAGTTGACTTATTTGTTTGTGTATTTACTCTAAGGAAAAGTTACACCTGCTTGTCTCCATGGAGATTTGATTGCTTTGCCTGATATTGTCTATCCAGGCTGGCGCCACCTAGTGCCTCTGCTCAATTTCATTTCTCTCCAGCGACTAGGTCAGGAATCAGAATACATTAGACGGTTTGCAAGAACCCTGGAAGTTGTATACTGCACACCGGCCAATCAGCTGTGAGCTGTGAAGTCATGACGTCAAACTCGTCACGTCTGTCTGGGTCACTTTTGTGGAACAGCACAACAGTAAACAAAACGTCGAGATGAATGTAGACGAAGACAGACATTCTACGTTTGCAACAATTCCCAAGATCGAGGATTTAAAGCTGGAACAAAGAGAATGTTTGGTGAATTTTATCAAGGGGAAAGACATTATTGTTCTTCTTCCTTCGGGATTTGGCCCATTACATACATCACAACCAAATAGCAGCAATTGGTTAAATAAATGAAAAAAGTACCCACCTCCCGCCGAGCAAATGAATCCTAATGACTTTTTCCATGAAGTGAAACCGTCTGATGAATCAGGCTAGATATTATCTACACTATGCCATAAAATGTGTCTATCTCCATGCAAACAAGCAGGTGAAGTTACAGTTAAGAATGCACGTTTATCAGTGTCAGTGGTTAACCTTGCATCGGAAAAGTTACATATTGAACCTTTACAAAATGGTGCATAATTAAGAAACATGTGAGAAAACATAAATAAACAAAGAAGTTAACAATAATAAAATATTTATTTCTCCACAGCCTTTGAATCAAGAAGAAAACGACTAACTGGCCGTCCTGAGATTATCCAAGTAAAGTCACAGCACTGAAATGATGTTAAAACGCACATTTGTATGAATTAAAAGTCTATTTATTTGATATCAATGAAATAATTTCTTTTCAATAAATTATGTGGATCATGTAATTCACCTTTTCCAAACTTCTTCCCTCTTTGGAGTTTTTTTTTTTTTTTTTTTTTTATAATACTGACCACAGCAGGTACCCCTCCACAGCTGGAGTTACCCAGGACTAAATCAGGATTAAACCAGGCTCTAACAAGACTAAACCAGGCTTAGACTTAGACAAACTTTATTGATCCATGAGGGAAATTATTTGGAGACAGGCTCTAAGCACCTCTTCATGGAGAAAGCCTGAACATACCAAGTATACTGTAGTATATTTTAGTATGTTTTAGTTAGATTTTTGGGGCTATTCACTTTACCTCTTTGTAATTAAAAGCTTCACGGTGCAATGTTCTTTTATTCCACTATGAGATGTTACTGACTGTCCTGAAATGTTCCACACTGTGGACACACTGTGACTTGGTATGCTCGTGCTCCCAGTTTGTCTCCATGGAGATGTTTAATGCTGGTCTGCGGAACACCCCCAGTCCAAGCAATAACAGCTAGTTACATGTGTTTCAATCTGTGTGTGTTTTTTGTTTTTTTTGTTTTTTGAGCAATTCATACACAGGTCTTTTTTATTATTATTATTAAAGACAATAGAATATAACATTAAACAAAATACTATGATAATCATGAAAACAAGACACAGTTTATTTATTTATTGGATCCCGATAAACCATTAACTATAATATAACCAGTAAATTAGTGACTAAATATAATCATGTACAATCTTCAGTATATTTGTTTAACATTTTCTTCAAACTTGGTTCATGTTTGTGAGCAGTGAAGGTTTGGGGAAGCATGTTCTGAAGCGCTATGGCTCTGTACAGAACAGTTTTAGGGGGTTAGTCCCCTGTTAGGACAGGGCCGCACCTGAAGATGGCGTCTTGAGCAGGCGTGAGTGAAGACGCTGCACCAGACTCTAAAAAACTTTTACTTGCCTTATAATGAGTCGCCGCGGACAAAGAGTGACTATCACCATAAGTGCCCCTCCCAAATGGAGCCCTACTCGTGCGCTGTGAGACCCTGACTCTACTGACAATATTCCATGGAAAAATGGACATGACCTCACAAATATCTCCTCACCAACAAGCAAAGAGAAATCTGCTACAAACTTCTACATCACTGTTATCTGCTAAAGCTGGGGTGTCCAACCTTTTTAAATCATGGGCCACATCTCTAAACACAGATGAAGCAGAGGGCCAATCGAGGGCCATAGACTGGAGCTTATTACAGTGAATAATAGAAATATGTGCATGTTTAACACATTAGAATGAGGCATCAGTCTTTATTCATACTAAGATCCTTAAAACCACACACTAAATATCAATATTAGCATTATCAAGGTAGATTTTCAAAAAACTTGAAGTAAAAAGTCAGTTTTTAATTGCTGCAAGGTCATTTAATTTCACCTGGAAGCCTGAGGGCCAAGAAAAAAATTGTCTGAGAGCCGCATTTGACCCACGGGCCACAGTTTGGACATGCCAGCGCTAAAGAATCATCAATGGACACAAACTGTACGTTATGCGAACTGAAAAATGAAACCACCTCTCACTTATTTTGCACGTGCCCAGACTCTGTGTGTTTTTGGAAAGAATTCAGAATGCTTTTCTCTGTAGAGCTGTTATTGCTTTGTTGGAAATGTTCCACAGTGTGACATTAAACAGCTCTAATTTACATTTATTCAATTACAGGTGGTTTTATAGCTGAAAAATCCCCAGAAAAACAGGCATTCTGACTGTGAGCGGAGTCGCTTCTCCACAGATCTGACCTGTGACTTGGTCTGGTTTGGTCTCCATGAAGATGGAAATGTTTAATGCCATACTGTGGAACACTCATGATAAAGTGATAATACAATAAGAATACAACGATGAATACTTAGTTAACTAAAATCAAATTATGGATGGATTCCAATAAGTTATCCCTAAATTTAAAGAAGACAAAAGCTATATTTTTTGGTAATTATAAAAGAAACTCAGATTTTTCAATCCATTTGATGGGGTTAAAGTTGATTGGGTTTCCAATAATACATTTTTAGGTATAACAGTAGATGAAAAGCTAAGCTGGAAACCACACATCAGATACATACAACCTAAGGTCTCAAAAAGTATTGCAGTAATCAACAAAGGGAAACACATTCTTAATCAAAAGGCTCTTTACATATTGTATTGCTCTGTCATACTTCCATACTTGACATATTGTATTAAAATTTGGGGCAACAACTACCAAACAACTACTTCTTCACCTTTTCAAATTGCAAAAACGTGCTGTGAGAATAATGCATGAGGTTGGTTACCTGGATCATACAAAAGATTAATTTTACAAATCAAAATGATTAAAATTTTTTGATTTAGTGAAATTTTACACTGCTTTGCTTATGTATAAAGCAAACAAAAATATGCTGCCGTAAAATCTCCAAAAACTGTTCAGTACACAAGAAGTACACTATGAATTAAGGGGAAGGGGTCAATTTAAAACAAAATCAGTGAGAAGCACCAGCGTGTGGTGAGTGTGTGTGAGTGTGTGAGTGTGTGTGGATGTGTGGGTGTGTGGGTGTGGGTGTGTGTGTGGGTGTGTGAAGCAGTGCCCAAATATTCATAGCTTCAAAAGGAATTATAAAGATTTTTTGCTTTTGTGGTGTAAGGGTGAGTGACAGCACTGTGATCTAAAAAAAAAATAAAAATCTGTGATCAATGTACAGAAGCAACCACATCATTTTTGAAACTATGTCATGAATAGGAGTGGGTTAGTATAAGTTTTTCTTCTTCCCACACCTTCCTGATTATTGTTTCTCTCTTGGCACAAACTCGAAATAAAAACAAATCAATCAATAATATTTACTGCTATTTTATCATTTTTATGGTTTTGTTTGTATTTGATTTGACTGGTTTTATTGTTTTAGGACTGGTATGACCAATTTTTAACAGTTTATCTTTTCATTGTCTTGATTTTGTGTGCAGCACTTTGGATACTGCTTTGTTTGTAAAATGTGCTATATAAATTAAATGGATTTGGATTTAAACATCTCCATAGAAAAAAGCGTTTGACGAACCCTCCACCAGAAAAGTTCGACACCTTGAAGTTTGATTCGCCTCCGGTGAAATCCAAACTGGCTCAGACTTCAGTATCCTGCAGTCACAGCAGCTGGACATATTTTCACAGGCGGGATTGAGCTCAGTCAGCGGAATTCTTCAGGTAGGTTTCCATGCTCGACACGTGGGCCGTGCGTAATCGCGGGGCCACACGGTACACGAGGGAGTGACCGGCACCTCGGCCTCCCGTGGCGAACCCCGCTCCGTAACCACTTTTATTTGCTTTTTTACTGCGGTTTGTTCCACGCATTTAACGACGTGCCAGCCAAACGTGACGTGACATAAAACGGCTTTCCAATGTACCTTTTTGAAACAGGTTTAGAAATCCTGCACTTTTTTCACTTTCTTCACGGTTTTCTGTAAAGTGCCAGTGGAAATTATATTCAGAAGAGGTTCTCAAACTGTGGGCGAGGGTCCAAAAAACGGTTAGTGTTTCAGTGCAGTACATTTGTTTGACTTATTTTAGGCTTAAATCAACATTTATCCAAAAAAATAATAATTAAAATAAAAAATTTAGATAGATTTATAAAAACATTAATATATGTGTACCAAAATAAAAGTAAAATACAAATGAATATCGAAAATGACAAAGTTGGTCTTGATTTGGTCTCAATGGGCCCTGATTTCAGTCTCGGCCTTTAAAAGTCTCGTTCTTGTCTCAGTCTCGACCCTCACTGGTCTTGGTCTCGTCTTGGTCTCGGGACCCTGTTTTTGGTCTCGATTAGTTCGGTCTTGACTACGACACTATGTAACTTTTCTGGAGGTTCCATCTCTGCCACCTGCTTATTTCAATGGAAATATACTGTATTTTTTCAGACCATAAGTCGCACTTTTTTTTCATGGTTTGGGTGTTTCCTGCGACTTATACTGTGGTGCAACTTCTATATTAAAATGTTCAGACTGACAGCCACGAGAGGCTCTAGTCCAGGGGTGTCCAAACTTTTTTCATCAAGGGCCACATAAACACAGATGAAGCAGAGGGCCGATGGAGGGCAGCAGACTGATGCTCAATACAGTGATTCATTAAAATATGTGCAGGTTTAACACGTTACAATGATCTGTCAGATATTATTCATGTTAAGATCCTTAAAACCACAAAGTAAATGTTAAACATCAGCTTTATCTTTTTTTTATTTATGTTTTTATTAGAAAAGGTTTCACATCTTTACACTCTGTGGTGTTACAGAAAGATCAGATTCCTTTTCAAATGTTTTTTTTTTTTTTTTTTTTTACAAAAACAAAAAGTAAATTAAAAATAATAATAATAAAAATTTAAAATAAAAATAAAAAAATATAAAAAAGGGAACAAACTAACTAACTAACAATAATATGAGGTGGCCAATTTGAAAGCATTTATCAGACATTTCAACCCTTCAAGAAACAAATTCGGTGAGCATGGTGGAGTCAGGGGATCCATATCCCATTACCTGGTACATTTACAAAAAGTCAATCAAAATCAGCCCAAAAGGGGATACAAACTGGATACATTTTTAAACATCAGCTTTATCAAGGTAGATTTTCAAAAAACTTGCAGTAAAAAGTTCATTTTTCAATGATGCAAGGTAATTTGGACCAATTCTCCTGGAAGCCTGAGGGCCAAGAAAAATATGTCTGAGGGCCACATTTGGCCCACGGGCCATAGTTTGGACATGGCCGCTCTAGTCTTTTGTATCAGTTTTCTGCACATGTCTCCTGCAGAAAAAGCTGCTGTCCTGCTGCAAGTAGTGAAATCTGCAGCTGAAAACGGTTATTGAACAGCAGAAAGAACGTTTGGATTGAGAGAGAAACTTGTGAGGGACTGGAGGAGGATGAAGAACACAGCCTCACGGTAACCAGGAGGGTGCGCCATGTAACTTTCCTGAAAGTCACTGGATGGAATCAAAGCCTGGACTCCCGTGATAACTGAAGTTGTGTGGAGTTACTCAGAAGTGACACTGAGGATGAAGAATTGAATGGATTTAGTGATTTGGAGTGAGATGGAGAGTTTGGTAAACTTGTTCTGTTCTGTTGTTTGTTATATTTATCTGAAGAACTGTTCATATGTGATGTTAACAGTCTGTTGTTCTCTCTTCTGTTGTTATTACAACAACTTCACTTTCAACAGGAAATGTCGGTTCCTGATCTCTGATTTTATAACATAAATTTCTCCCAAAAAGTGCGACTTATATATGTTTTTTTTCTTCTTCATTATGCATTTTTTGGCTGATGCAACTTATAGTCCGGAGCATCTTATAGGGTAATTGCTTTTCCTACAATGTCTTTCCTACATTTTTTAGTAGGCGATAGACTCATCTAACATCATAAAGACAATTAGCCTAGGTGACGCCACCAGACCAAGTTACTGTTCAGATCTGGGGATAGGCAACAGCTCACAGTCACATATAGGAAATCAGTATAATAATGACTAATGCAAGATGGGTCGGCCTATGTTTAATGCCGTACTGTGGAACATTACAGACAATGGCATGTACATTCACTTGAGCAACTTTTTAAATCATTTTTATTTTTCTATGAGCATACTTTTACTTGTACTTGAGTAATATTTGAAGTAACAGTAGGTCTTACTCAATGGTGCATTGTGTTACTTTTCTGGTGGAGGGTCAAACGCCTTTCTTCATGGAGACGTTATTGCTGTACCTGGAATGTTTCACAGTATGGCATTAAACCTTTCTATCACCATGAGACCAAAATAGACCAAGGTACAGGTCAGATCTGTGCAGAGGCGACCCCGCTCACAGTCAGAATGTCTGTTTTTCAAGGTATTTTTGCTCTTTAAAACCACCTGTAATTGATTAAATGGAAAGTAGAGCTGTTTAATGCCATACTGTGGAACATTTAGGCCCAGTTTCGTACAGGGGTGTGTTGCAATCGCTCATTTTGGTCAGTGGAAATTCAAGGTTAGGGAGGTAGGCTAAAGAACGTATGGTGGCGGCTACAACTAGATGGCGCCCCAGAAAGTATTTCAGAAGTATTTGTCTTTTGGGCCCATTCGCACTCAATTTTACATTGCAGTAACTGGGTTAGTGCGTTTACATGCAGCATGACTCAAAAAACCTGATAGTAACTGGGATACTGATGGCCATGTTTACACACTCATTATGAACAATGCACCAGATCAAATATAACACGTTGCTCGCAGACTGGCACGCTGACACTGTTGCGTCTTTGCGTTGGTCGTTGTTGAGTTTTGGGGACGCACATTGAACAGAAGTAGATCTGCATCTTCTACCGTTTTTGAAATAAAGACAGTCAGGAGGAGAGTGATGATGATAAGATCCTGAAGGAGAACAGAACTTTCAGTGCTTTAAAATAGAAACTGTTAGTAAAATTAAAAAAAAAAAAAAAAAAAGGATTTTATTAATTTCAATTTCCAGTGTTTTAGAAAGACAGATATTTTGTTGTGATGCTTTGTAATGACTTTCAATTGAAATTCAAGCACAGGTTTTCTACACATCCCATATATATTTTTTTTCTCTCCACTCCCTGTCCTCAGTCCTGGTTCAGCTCTGGTTTAGTTCTGGTTTAGTCCTGGTCCAGTCCTCGGTTCAGTCCTGGTTCAGCTCTGGTTTAATCCTGGTTTAGACCTGGTTCAGTCCTGGTTTAGTTCTGGTTTAGTTTTGGTTTAGTCCTGGTTTAGTCCTGGTTTAGACCTGGTTCAGTCCTGGTTCAGCTCTGGTTTAGTCCTGGTTTAGACCTGCTTTAGTCCTGGTTCAGTCCATATACGGTGCAAAAGTTCAGCATCTTTGCAGTTATTTTGGTGAGAGTCACTTAAAAGTGCTGCAATAGTCATGTAATGTTTTACATTTTAAATACAGTAATATTGTAATGTAACAAATGACTTTGAAATGACAGTAACAAGTCATAAACAACACATTACATAAAGTCACTTGCCCAACAGTTGTCAACAGTAAAAAACTGGAAAAGTGTGGTGTTCTAAAACTTCTGACTGGTAGTGTATGTGATTTTAAGATTACACAACCAATTCAAGAGCTACTACGCAGATATTAAACCTGAAAACAAGATGAATAACCCAATATAACTTTTAAAATCTTGGCCAGATCAGAGAAATTTGCAGCGTACAAGTTTTGGTTACTCTGCCCAATGTCCTTAAGTCAGACCTTCCAGTCCCACCCGAAAAATGGCACACTACACCTTTAAACAGCTTGGTATTCTTGAAGTTAACCAAATTCATTCCAAAAATACCGAAGCGTGGCTGCAGTCGTGTCCCGCTCCTCACGTATGCGCCCGTGTCCCGTGCGCTCGTGTCCCGTGCGCTCGTGTCCAGCCGCTGCGCGCTGAGGTCATCGGTTTTTTCGGAGGGTTTCGGAGTGGGCGTGCGTCAGGGGGCGTGTTCAGGAGGACGCAGCGCACAGATGGGATGAGAAAGCCCGAGTGAAAGTGGAGATTCTAACTCGAGACAAGAGCAGCAGCAGCAACTTCACCAGGGGCCGAAGAAAAGTAAGATAAAACACTTTTGCACGAACCATTTTGCGATTTGGTTTGGTATCGTCATTTTACGCAAGAAAAAGTTCTGTTTGGTGCGTTAAGTTGATAAATAGTGACTTATTTGAGGTGTTTTAACGTGTATCTATTCTACTGTTATGAAATTTTACACTTTTAGCTGTATTTTTCGTGTCAGTTTTGAAGACATATTTGCGTTAAGTTGCTACTGGACAGTTCTAACGCAAAAGGAGTCGTTGTGTCTTCTCGCCTACTTTTTCCATTTGTTTCAGTCATGATTTTCTAATAGCCTTTCCCAACACATTTCACTTAAAATGAGCTACAGTTTGGACAAAGCTATGTTTTAGTCCAAATCAAGATTGCAAAAGTTTCATAAGCGAGCCGGATTTGCGGATTTTGAAGCGCTGCATAAACGAGTGAAGGAAAAAAAATCATATTTGACTAATTTGACTTGAAGAGAGGGCAATAAAAAGTGACATTTTGACCTGTTCTGCTCATGCAAAGTTCCTCAGCTGCAGGTGGTACATTCTACAGCCACATTAACACACAAGCAGCCAATTATTCTGAGTCTAGACTTGGCAAAGATGTAATGATTTTTCTATTGCTTTGAGGGGCCTAGTTTCTACTACGGACAGAGTTTTAAAGATCTGTACTTTGCCTTTGCCAGTTTTGTTTCTTTTACAAACTGTTACCCTTATAACTTATCTGCCCAAGTCATCTTTTAGTCAAATTGAGTTTTCTGTCTCATTCATCTCCACACAGCACTTTGACACGCACGCCTCTACTGTTGGGCAAGTGACTTTAAAACTGTAATGTGTTATTTATGACTTGTTACTGTCATTACAAAGTCATTTGTTACATTACAATATTACTGTAGTTAAAATGTAAAACATTCCACGACTACTGCAGCACTTTAAGTGACTCTCACCAAAATAACTGTGAAGGTGCTGAACTTTTGCGACGTATATGGATTGAACCAGGACTGAACCAGATTTAAACTAGAGCTGAACCAGAACTGAACCAGGACAAAACCAAGACTAAACTAGGTCTAAACCAGAAATGAACCAGGAGTAAACCAGGACTAAACCAGAACTGAACCAGCTCCAAACCAGGTCTAAACCAGGACTAAACCAGGTCTAAACCAGGTAAACCAGGACTAAACGAGGACTAAACCAGAGCTCAACCAGAACTGAACCAGGTCTAAACCATGTCTAAACCAAGAGTAAACCAGGACCAAACCAGGACTAATCTTGGACTAGAACTTGGAATCTAGGACCGCCCCTTAGAGAACCTCCGAGCGTGATCGGGCGTCAGCTGCGTTTAGCTCCGAGGAGCGTGGAGTTCTGTGCCGGAATTTGTATGAAAAAAAACAAAAAACCCTCCACTTTAATCCAGGTTAAAAAAAGCATTGTGACGGGTGTTACTGACATTTGTACCGAGTAAAATGTTACACTTTTTCCCCTGTAATGCCTTACATTACTACATTACTGCATTACTGCAAAAAGCAACGCGTTACAGTGATTCGTTACATTTATAACGCGCTACTCCCAACACTGCACGCCTCACAATAAGAAGGTTCTGGGTTTGACTTCCAGACCAAACGGGCCTGTCCCTGCTGAGTTTCTGTATTTCTCCCCATGTCTTGTTTTCTCTGTGCACTTCAGTTTACCCCATCAGCCCAAGCCTCGCTCACTGGCCACGCCCACTGCTCCTGACAGCTTCAGGTTGCCCCGGTGGTACTGAAGAACGGGTCAAATGCAAAGGACAAATACTACCTCGTCATCTTATTGACAGACTATTTATTTTTCTATTTTCCTGTAAACCATCCATCCATTTTCTTCCGCTTACCCGGGGCTGGGCTGTGGTAGCAGCAGTCTAAGCAGGGACTTCCAGACTTCCTTCACCCCGGAAACTTCCTCCAGCTCTTCCAAGGTTTCCCAGGCCAGCCCAGAGACACAGTTCCTCCAGCGTGTCCTGGGTCTTCCTCAGGGCCTCCTTTCCTGAAAACCTGAAAATAACATATCTACGTTCACACTGCAGCCTGAAGTGACCCAAATCAGATTTTTTGGCCTCTGTGCTCCTGTATCTGATCTTTTAATGACAGTCTGAACAACACAGATCCAATTTTTCAAAGGACACTTGGATATGTGCTCCTAAAACCGATACATATCTGATCTTTTGACATGTGACTTCAGTTTGAACGGTCAGGTCACATTCATCCACCTACACGTCAGGCTCGGAGTCTAGTCAATGGAGGCAAAGTGACATTAGCGAGTTCATTAATATTTGGGGGGGTCGCTGTATTCAGGCCAAACTCGAGGGATCTTATCAGAACCGGGCGTTTTTTGAAATGATTGACAAAAAAATGTCCAAGCGCAGCTACAGGCGTCCTGACTAGGGATGGGCATTCAATGAAATTTTATTAATCGATTGTCGAGAGAATTAGCAATACATTTTTGATTAATCATTAATGTTTTTATATAATAAGTATCATCTATATTATTACTATTACTAATTTGCATAAATAAACTCAACTTTACAACATATAAACCATAACGACTCTAGAGCCACATCAGCCCGTTTGACATTATCATGTGTTTAATGCAGCTTTGCGTAAGTCTCACAGAAACAAAACTTAAAACCACATGACTCATTTGCATAAACTAAGTTAAGAAAAAAAAACGTTCTTGTGCGCTGATGCAGTTCAGCATTTATCGGACTAAAGAACACGGCTCAGTGGAATATGAGTGTTGTTTCTGTGACAGAGGGATGTTGATGCTGAAGGTGAGTCTGTTCTGTGTGTGTCGCGATGTTTTCAAAGATCGTACGTGTGCAGGTTTAGCACAGCTCTTTATGTTGCAGTAACCGGGATACAGCTTATACATGCACCATGATGAAACCAGGACACTGATGTGCTGTAAACACACTCACTGAGTGGTACAGTGTCTTCAAGGTGCCAGAGCCCAAACGTGGGACTGACGCTGCAATTTCAGTGTTTGTGCTGTCAGACGCAGCTTCATATCTATGCCCAGAAACCTACATTCATTTTGTTGATGAGAAATGAACGTAATCGACGAAATTCTTAATGATCCATTATCGATTAGTCGACTAATCATGCCCATCCCTAGTCCTGACTCTAATGTCAATGAAAAATAAAGAGCCTGCCTCAAACAAATGAAGTGGCCGTGGACGTGAAACCTGTCCATTTGACCAAGAACTGGACCCTGTTTTGGGAGACAAGCTCAGCGTTTAGGCGACTTCCATAAACACTGAGCACGCTCACTAAATGTGACGTCGTCGTGTCCTCCAATGTGCATGCGAGACACTTTTGGGGCGTTTAAAGTTCACCCTGGAAATCACATACAAGTCACATTTAACTGGAAAGGTGAACAACTTCACAAAAAAAATCAGATTTCACAAAAGAATCTGAATGGAGCACTAAGCCCTGCAGTCTGAACGGAGCCTAATTATGCTAGAATGCCAACAAAGTGTTTGAGTATAATGCATGTACGTTTTAAAAAAAGCTTGATTCCACCTTGTGATGTAATGAAATGCAAACTCTATGCACCTTCAACATCATTTCATCATCCGAATTACTTCAGACACATCTCAACTTCAAAGCTACCAGCTGTAGTTTTAGCCTCATTTGAACTGCTTTACTCTGGCCCTTGTGTTTTGAACTGCTTTTATGTCATTTTTATAATATTTTAAGCTGTCAAAACCACAATATGTACACGAAGTTGTTGAAAAGTAGTTTGAAAAGCCACGCATATTAAACTTGTTATTAGTACCATTAATCTGGCTACTTCCTTTGTTGTTTTTGTTCAAAGTGTTTCCAGTCGTCCCTGGGCGCGTGATATCCACAGGTCAGAACATCTGTCATTTAGTTTGAAGCAAAATCTTGGAGCCAGTTTCAAATTTCAACCTTTTGGCTCAAAGCTTTACTTGGAATTCCGTATTTGCAGCAAGGAAAGTTTTTACAGCGGACCTATCACGCCAAATCGATTTTGAGAGGGTTTTAACCATGTTATAGTTGTTTCCCCTTCTCATTTGCGTGTCTCAAAGTTATATTTCGTGTGATTCGTGCATGTTTGGGTTATGTTTGTTCTCCTGCATGTATTCAAGACGTCATTGCTGATAGTAATAATAATGATGATCATTTTAATATAAAAATGTTAATGATTAATCGATCTTTAATTCTTCCAACGATCGATTAAGAAAATTTCATCAAATGCCCAACAACTTTAAACAGTCCAACACTGTAGAAACCTTTTAAAAAGAGTATAGAGTGTTGGGTTTTGGAAAATACGGAGTTCTGGAGTTGATGGATTGTGCATTGAGTTTTGTTTGTTTTAATTTATATTTCGTCTCTTGTATTTCCAGTGAGTGGAGTTGTGAATGCAAACTTGTTGTTCACGCGTTTGGTACCTTTGTCTCCGCTCAGACCCTTCCTGTCATGACCCGTGTAGTCGTGGTTTATGTTTTGTTTTCGTTTGCCGCAAATGATCCAATAAAAAATAAAATAAAATCATAACTCGCGAGCGTGACCTGCAGCGATCCATCGGAGGTGCTGACAGCTGCACGTCTCTTTGTTGTGATGACGTTCATTTCGACATCAGCTCCACAGTTTGAGCACCACATTTTCTAACAGAGGACTTGTTTCTTTTATTAAGTCAATTACTAACATTTCTACATAGATCGTGAACTTCACAGCTGACACAAGTGCAATATGTCTTTAAAACTTTTCCGGTGGAGCGTCCGTCACCTGCTTATCTTCATGGAGATATTGCTTAGTCTAGAATGTTCCACAGTAGAGATTAAACCTATCTGTCTCAAAGGCGACAACTATAGGCTGCATTACAGGTCAGATCTGTGGAGAGGCAACACTATTCACAGAGAGAATGAGTGTATTTTTGAGCAATAGAAACTAGAGCTGGGTATCATTAAGAAGTTGCTGAGATGATACAAACCTTGATACATCGGCCGTGATATGAAAC